ACGCTTGTAGTACATCCACCCAGGATCACCCAAACAGATGCCAGCCACGCAACTCAGAAGACTGATCCGCAGTCATTTGTTATCGCACTATCTCGTGCACGAAGAAATGATAGAAAGGATGTCTTTTGGTTAAGGCTCGGAGATGTGCGTGGTGGGACGAGGTGACCTCGTAATGATGCATGTGGATTTCTACTTGATCTGTATAATGCAGCATAATTAAGCATGATAAACATAGGTAGTCTATTATATATATTGTTCACTGTGTTCGATCTATTTTTCACACGTTACCGTTGACATAGTCACACTTAATAATATATGAATAATGATATTAAAATAATATACTATACATCATGAGAGAGAATATATCAGTTAATGATATTGAGATCAATATTCATGTAAAATAGAGCGGAGTTGATGAGTACATAAATAGATAATAACGATATATGGACATATAGGGACTATTAATCATAATGGTAATGATGGATATTACTGATGATAATAAATAATAATGATTATATGTTATATCATTATCATTCTGAATGATGATGATTATAATTAATAACATTGTGATGCGCAGTCATGATCAATAATAACACTTATGATATTTATTAAACATAAGACCATCGTAGTAATTTAACTGATATACCTGTTATTGTGGATTATAATGGAGGTGATCTACATGTATAACGCTGTGGGTGTGTATTTGATAGAGGAGTAAAGAAACACAATGATTCACATGTGGATTAACTGATGCGGATGAGAGTGATAGGTTGAATAATATATTGAGTTATATGTATAGAATGTTAGTAATTGTATAATATGTATGCATGTATCTTTATATATTATGAGCTATTATGATTCTTGCTACTACTCATGAATGAATTTATTAAATTGTAATTTAATTTTTGTTACTAATTTTATGTTTTTATTTTTATTCATATATCATTATTTACACTAAACTTTCCAATCATCTAATCACATCATTGTTTTATGATATGTTATTCATCCATCATCATCATAACACCATTTATCATACCAATTTAGAATTATGTGTTACCATCATAGCATAGTTTTCGTATTAGGTTGATATTATTGTTATTACTATTACTTTAAGTTATATTGGTTTAGTTAATATTCTCCTCTATCCTTCTGAAGTCATTGTTATTAACTCGTACAAACTACTTTATGATCCATTCGAAAAATACTATAGCGTATGTCTTTCTAGTTGCACATTACTTAGTATAAGTTAAATTTAATAATTTGCTGATATGTCAACTACATATACTTGCAAAATGCCATCTTAGTTAAATTATAACACCAGTGCGTTTCCGACTTGTGTGTGTAAACCTCGCAAACGGCCACGGGCATGTAATCCTGAGAACTTAAGGAAAAGGTAGTCCGAGACAGCGTAATCCACCAATAATCACGGGAATTCTGCTTATCTTGAGAGAAGACAGGAACACTAATGAAGAAAAACAAGACAGACAGAAAGGTCACGGTGCCAGGCAGCGCAAGAAGAGAAGGAGAGTGTTGGACTGGGAACTCCATTATGTTTAAAATGGACAATAGTTAACATAGAGTAACAGAATTCAGCTGGTTCATGAAGAAGAGATCTGTATGAGAGAGAGAGTAGTATGAGTGAAGAAAGACGAGGAGGTAGTGAAGAAAGGAGACGGGAGAGACTAGACAGAGAGAGTAAGAATCAGAGGAGGAGGAACGTAGAGAGTAGTAGAGAGAGAGGCACGATCCAGGTGATGATGAATGACGAAAAAGAAAGAAAGGATAGAATGATACAGAGAAATGAGTAGCAGAAGAAGAGTGATGTATGAGAGAGAAAGAAAAGAAAATACTACCGACAAAAGACTTCTCTAAGTAGACAAACAAGTGGTGGATGAGGGTATGGGAGATGATAAAATGGATGAATAGATGGATAGACAGATAGAGAGTTAATAACAGCCATAGTAAATAGAGAGAAGAAAATATAACAAGATAACACCAGCAAAACTGCCAGAAAGCCAATCTAGCTTGGTATTCAGCGCCCTCTCGATCCCGTGTACCATATGGTACCAAGGCAGGCCATGCTCATTAATCAGTAAATAAAACTCGAGAAGGCACGGCGGTCCCGAGCACAAAACCTCTCTCAATCTAAACACAGGCAGCGAAGCACTATAGCACAAATATGAGTAACATCCTATATTAGAGTAAATACGTCTGAGACTTGTTGAACTTCATGTACACATACTCATGAGAGTGGAGACTATGCAGAGTCAGTGGAGGATAACAATTCATGAAACCTGCACTCAACGATTACACGACTCTTAAATAATGAAACAACATGCACAGGAACTTCAAAAGCGTGCGAAGCAGAGCAAGAGTGCCACAAGCAAAGTCTCACGATATTGCTCATGAAAGCGCGTCTTCGCCAACTCTCTCTCTACCCTCCCCCCTCCCTCCCTCCCTCCCTCCCCCCGGTCGCGTAGGCTCCCGACGAGGCTACGGC